ATAAGTTTTAATACAATGAACCAAATATCTACCGAAATAACCCCTACCCTACTTTACGATCTCTCTATAACTTGGATATTAACAAAATGGCACTTAAGGTTAAATTATTTAATTTGATGTAAACAATGTGTGCATGCAATTTTTTTGCTGATTCTCCTTTTCCCAAAGCTCCTCTAGTGAAAAGAAAATATTCAGTGAATAAAATATTGATGTATTGTGTTACCACTAATTTCTTCATTAAAAAAAATAATGTATGGTGGCAAAAGAGTAACAGTACTATAACTCTACTAGTTTCCGAAAGATAAAATCACTTATAAAAAGGACTTATATACGGCTTGTTTTCCAATTTCAAGTTTGAAGGTAAAAATTGCACGGGGCGTCCTATTTGGTCGCCTCCATTTAATTTATACTTATTTTTTTTAAAAGTTTTAACTTGTATCCACTTTTTAAACAACTTCAACCCCCTTTCTCCTCCTCCTTCTCCTCCTTCGTTTTCTTGTTCTTGTTCTTGTTCTTCTTCTTTCTTCTGCTTTCTCCTCCTCGTTCTCCTCCTTCGTTTTCTTGTTCTTCTTCTTCTTCTTTCTTCTGGTGCTGTTGGTGCTGCTATGAAACTTCAGTTCATGGGATGATTGCCATAAGTATGTTTATCAGATTATTTAAAAATAAATTATAAATAACTACGTAAGTTAGTAGACAATAATTTGTGAATATTTCCACGTAATTCTGTTCTTTTCACGTTTATTGTTTCCAAAATTTATGATTTAGATATTGTTGGCAATCTGATTATTTTATAGTAGTAATACACTATGAAAGAATAAGGTGATTATTTATCTAGTATGTTAGAAAGCTTTTTCAAAAACTTCAGCTTATATAGTGCTGAAGTTTTTACAAATGAATTAAATAACTTCAGCATCTTCTGTTGAAGTTTTCGAAAAAGTTTTACGACAAAACTAATGAATCCAGGACAAAAAAACTTCAGCTTTTAGTGCTGAAGTTTTTACAAATGAACTAAATAAATTCAACATCTTCTGCTGAAGTAAAAAGCTTATCCATGACAAATGCTGAAGTTTTTATAAATGAACTAAATAACTTCAGCATCTTCTGCTGAAGTTTTTGAAAAAGCTTAATGACAAAACTAATGAATCCAGGACAAAAAAACTTCAGCTTATTTAGTGCAATTACAAACAAAAACTTCAGCAAATAGAGAACAAAACTTCAGCTACTATGCTTAAGTTCAGCAATTACAAACAAAAACTTCAGCACACTTGCTACTTCAGGCCCGTCTACTATAATGCTGAAGTTTTGCGTGATTACCTTTGCTACTTCAGCCCCATATGCTGAAGTTACGCGAAAAAGTGGGTACGTTTGCAATTTTTTTTGCAAAGCGGGCACAAGTTAAAACGTGACCCAAAAAGCGGGTATAGATGCAAAGCCCAGTTTGAAGATCAAGAAGTGAATTAGTTGGGCGTTTGGACATAAGAATGGTAAAATTCCAAAAAAAAAAGTGAAAAAAATTTTCAAGTAAAATTTATATTTGAATAATAGAGTTGTGTTTGAACATGAATAAAATTTTGGATTGTTTTTAAAGTTTTGTGAATGATTAGAGTGAACATTATAAAAAATTGTTGTTTGGAGTTTTTAAAATTTTCGAGAAATTCTAAAACTCATCTTTAAGTGAAAATTAAAATTTTATGGCCAAACATTAATTTCGAAAAAAGTGAAAAATTCTCGAAAAAAATTGAAAAATTGTTATGTCCAAACGGGCTCTTAATCTAATATCCTTCAACAGATTTTTTTGCTCATTAGCAATAATCTTGGAGCAACGATAAAATTGTCCCTGTGACCTATAATCTACAGGGTCGAGCCATGGAGCAACCATTAATGCTTGCATTAGGATAGGTTGTCTACATCACACCCTTGGGATGCGGCCCTTCCTTGGACCCTGCATAAACGCGAAACGTCTTGTGCACCGGGCTGCACCTTTTTTTTTAGGCAATAATCTTTTATGAAAAATAAAAAGCACCATGTCATTTTCAAAAGAAGCACATGAGAAAGCCTGTATATAACCAGAAATAAGGCTGTCTCAGTCTGAATAAGGCTTTTCTTAAGGACACTGTACATGGTATAACCAAGATTTAAAACTGAGCCAAGTTCCTAGAGTTCAACATTGAATAAAACCAGAATTAATCATTTCATCACCTCTGAGTAACCCTTAATTTCTCCAGTATATCGGCCCGCTGTGAAGAAACAAACCATCAGGGTATTTATGTGAACAAATCAACATATTCAGAAGAATGCCTTTTGTTGTATTGTAGCAAGCTTGCATATGTTCGATCCCAGATTCCGATGTAAAGAGACTCATCATCTGGACTCAGAGATACCCCAGATATCTCACCAAACATGTCAATTTCTTGACGTTTCTGGTAATCCGCATCAGTATTATAAATATGGACAAAATCTGCAGGTTCAGCCACCACCAAGAACCGCCCGTCTGATGAGTAACGAAGAGATCGGACAGCACCCATGTTTCCCTTCAGCACTGCTGTAGGCGAGGACAGGTTTCTCAAGTCCCAAATTCGGCAAGTTTTATCTTGATTCCCGGTGGCAAAGGTACGGCCATCGGGGTGCCATGCAGAAGCAAAAGAGTAGTCTAGATGACCAACAATTGAGCCAATCGTCTGATACAGTAAAGAACTTCTATTAGAACGAATTGATAGGATTCGTAAATGGAGGACTCACCATGAAAATCCAAAAATAAAGGGACCGCGGGATATCTTTAAAATAAATAAGAACCTAGAAGTCAACAGAATAGGCATTTCGACAAATTCTTATCAGCTCATATGGATGTGCATGGTAAAATGCAAGAAACAAATAGAAGTGGAACTATTTGCAATTGCTTCATAGATTTCTGCCAAATAATCATCTCATTATGAAAGCAGCAGAGAGATGACCAAACATACTTCAGAATCTACTTTCTAAACTAAGAACTGATATGAGGTAAGCACATGATAAAGAACTTGACATTTCATCTGATTTGAAGGTAAGTATTCAATACCTTTCCATTGCAGGAGTCAACAAGTAAACCATTGAGATCATCCCCGACAACAGTAAGAATCTTGCTATCTGGGCTCATTGAAGTGTGCTGCATAAATAACCAATGAAATTACGAATGCATGAGAGTGAAAAGTACCAAAGACACATGCATCCCAAACAAAATCATATGACATCAAGCATGTAGAGTAACATTATTTAGTCCAGCAGAAAATCAGATGACGGAGGATATCCTTATTTGGATAGATAAACTTTTTTCATGAACAATAACAAAAATATTTTTAAAAGTGTTCACAAAGTCTACGATGGGATGTCAATTACAACGCTTCCCGCCACAGAACACAAAAGGTAAACATGAAGAATAAAAAAAGCAGTAAAAGGTAGATAAGAAACTGACATTCACTGGCCACGGGAACCGGAAGTGGTTCATAAGCTGAAATTTTTCCATGTCATACTCTCTCACACCAGAATCATTATTGGCTGCCATAAAATGAAGCCCACCACTGCAAAACAATTTAGATATACTTTTCAATCAGTTAAATTTCAAACTAGCCCAAAAACTGATGTTACATTCACTCTTACCTCGTGCTTTCATATATCTCGACAGCATTTGTGATAGCATTCTCCTCATAAGTAGTCCTTGCGCAGAAGCTTATACCTGGCTTATCCAAACACTGCATTATTTGAAGCTAAGTTAAGCAAGGATAACAAAGTCGTATGTAGAATAAAGCTTCTGTTCTTCTTCCATTCAAATTTAATTATCTCAGTTCGTGCTGATTTAGAAATGGATAATCTTTTCTCCTACAGAAACAGAGCAACCAAATACCAGTTGTCCGCCACCTTCACCCCTTCTATTTGTATTTCAAAACCAGCACTCTTCCGCTATCAATAGTTAATAGAGAAGCAAGAAAGTATTA